CGGCCGACCGGGGTACTTGCGTGCCCCCCAGGGGCACTCTACCGATTGCGGCCATGAACTCTCGCTCATGGTCGCGCCGTTGTCTGGTGCCGCCGTCGCGGACCTTCAACGGTCGCACGGCAAGTACATCTACCACGGCACAGATGTGCACGTGGTGGAGTCTATCGTAGCCCACGGGCTACAGCCTGGAGGCGGCCCGGGAGGGCGCCTCGCAAACCACTTTGTACGTGGTCGGCCCCATGCCGACGCAGTGGTCCGAGGCCCGGGGCTTCAGGTGCGGCAGCAACGCCACTGTCCAATGCGACCTGGAAGTTCTACTTCGGGTCGGCGTGCCGCTCTTTAGTGGAGCGGACGGGGTGTTGCTGGCAGACACCGTCCCTGCCGACGCCATCTTCCGCATCCTCGCGGCTGATGACAAGCGCGGGAATTACACGGAAGTCTTGGCCGAGATTGGCCCGGACCGTCGGCTGCATCTCGTGCGAGATCTGCGGGCCGAGGCCGTGGAGGCCACGGCGGCTGCCATGGACACGTCCGCGGCTGCAGCCGGCAGTGCGGATGTGGGCGGCCCCGAGGCCCCTTCCGCGGGCGCGGGGGACGCTGAGGCAGACACTGAGGAGTCCAGCTCGGAGGCCTGCCGGACACCACGGCCCCTGCAGCTGCAGCGGCTCACCCGGAGCGCTCAGCGGCCGACGTGGACATGGGCGACGAGATGACTGAGGCCGCGGTTGAGGACCCGGACCTCACGGTCGGCCAGCTTGTCGATAAGACCACCGACAAGCTTAAGTTCATGGAGGGCTACATGGAGGGCGCAGCTCGAATGGTACAGTTCGAGGCGGCCCTCAGCTGCCGTGCAGGCGCCGAACACAGCCGTGTGCTAACGCACGCCGAACAGCTGCTCCACAAGGGAGAGGAGTACTTGGAGCAGCGTGATGCCGAGGCGGGTGCGGCCGCTTCTGGCGCCCCGTCCTCCGGGAGTGCGGCGCCTGACCAGGATGCGCGCCTCCTGGATCGGCTCCCAAGGCTGAGGACAGAGACGATCCCATGGAGGGACCCCCCGCTGCGGAGCCGGCGGCGGGTTCAGCAGCGTCTTCGGAGGAGCTCGTGGCCGATGAGCCGGCGCGAAGCTTACGAACCGCAAGCCAGGTGCCGAGGCGGTTCAAGGCGGTCGCTCACGTGGCGCCTCCGGGCGTGACCTTGGCGGCACCTTTGGGGGATGCGCAGGTCGCGCCAGATGCTGAGCCTGATGGCTCTTTCCTTTGCCCTGAATGCGGCAAGGGACTGGACACCGTGGTGCGCTGGCACTTGCACAGAGCGGCGTGCCACGATGTCCGGCTCCCGGCTGCGGTGTTCCCGGAGCCGACGAGCAGTGACCAGATCCGGCAGGACTACCGAGAAATCTGGTTTCGACTCTCGAAGAAAGGCCACTTCTTCGAGATGAATGAGCTGAACCGGTCCAGGACCGCAAAGAGGTTCGGGGACGATGTGGTGATCCCGCTTTTGCAGAAAGGGGATCGCATCAGGCTTAAGGACGGGACCCG